ACCAACTCGAACAGTTTAGATTTGTCGATGTTTCTTTTGCATCCCTTCTTATGCACTGGAAACATCTCAGTTGATTGCCAGCAGGAAGGAAACACCCCACTGGAGGAGGACATTTCGAACAGAAGGCAGAGAGGTGCCACCAGGCTATCGATGTGTTGCTTGAGAAAGACGGAAGGAACTCCGTCAGGTCCAGGCTTAAATGAAGACTTCAGTTGCGAAGCCGCCCTAGTTATCATAGCGAAGTCGTTTTTTCTTTGATTTGTTTTCCGTCGATCTTGTTTTCCGTGCTGAGCACCAATGCTACCGACGCCAGGAAGGCAGCTCCACACCTGGACCCTACCTATCGACCCATCAACTCATGAACCGGGGACCAACGGCTTAACTTCCCTTCCGAAGGAAGGCGTGATCAGAGATGCTATGCCTCAGAACATGCCGGCGCCGCCGACTGGGATTGACCTCAGGCCTGCTGGGGTGAGAGGTAATCACGCTTACCACTACACCACCGGCGCCGCTAGATGCGTCAAGTTATTTCTAAGTAGATACAAAATGGATTTTAACGGGATGAAGCTACTGCTAAGTATGTTTAAAAAAACATAAATATTATAAATATTTGTATAGATGCAGCCACTCAGCTTGATGAGTCACAACAGTTTGCTTTTGCGCATATTCCGCAAAAGCAAGCGGAACAGATAGTATCGTCAATCCTTTCCGAGCTACCGACGTGTCTTCGCTGCAAAACAAAATCCGGTGTATCTGATCTGACGCATCTCCTTTTTCGCGGTGTTTAGTGAAGCATCGCCCGACCTCAACATGGGAAAACCGCCGTATGTTGACGCGACTGCTATTCCAGCCGGTAAACGATCCCGATCGGACACCACCAGTGCACAACTGGCATCGAAGAAGCTGTTGGCCAACAATCGTTACGCCATCCGGGAAAACGGCGATAAACCGAAGGTGGAAAAGAAGGAGAAAGTTCCACCGTTCTTCGTAAACGGATTCCCGGAAGGCTTTTGGGGGAAACGCGACTTTTACATTGGTAAAGGTCTCAAGTGCACTGAAGGCATCAAACTGATGGTTCCAGCGATGAACCCCTACAAGGTTGGAAGTATCCTTGGGCCCATCCTGTTCAATCTATTCACCTCCGATATTCCGGGTCTCCCTGATTGTGGATCGTTGTCTCTGTTCACAGACCACACATCCATCGTTTACAAGCGTAGGGTCATCGGATCTCTGACTACTAAACTCCAGAGAGACTTGGATGTCCTGTCTGAGTATTTCAACAGCTGGAAGATCCGTATCAACGTGGCGAAGACCCAGGTCATACTTTTTCCACACGCAAAATCCCCAGGGAGCCCGTTGACAAAACGAAAACCAAGTGCAACATCTTGATAACCTCGTTGTATCTACTTATCAACAGGAAGTCCACCCTGTCCCTGAAAAATAAGCATATGAAATTCTGAGGTCCACCGCCTGGCCGGTCTTCAGTCTCTGGAAGAGCAAAGAACGGTATTCTTGGAAAGGTTCAGAGACACCTGTTTGAGATCAGATCATCAGATCATACGCGATCTAGCACGTTAGGTTTATACTCGCAGTTAGGTAGGTTATCAAATTTTTCAATTAAAACCTTTGTTAAGCTTTTAAACATCTTAATCAGATGATTTTAATCAGCCGAAAGCCTAACAGTAATATAAATTACAAGCTTTTTATGATATTAAATAACAGTTTTGTTCCAACAATTGTTTAGCCACAGACAAACAGACATAACACTCGCAAGTTTTTCATCGAACAACCATCTAAGGGTCAATTTAAAAGTATTTAAAGGTATTTAAAAGTGAGAAACATTCAATGTGTTATGTCTGTTTGTCTGTGGTTTACCATTCTAGTTTTATTCTAAAAAATGACTTGGGTTGATGGTAAGCCCAATCCGCCTAGCTTCAGCCTTCAGTCTGATGTACGTTTCCGCCATCGTCTCAAAGTTCCGTGCTATGATGTCGATGTCATCGGCGAAGCCAAGAAGTTGGATGGACTTCCTGAAGATTGTGCCACTCGTGTTTATCCCAGCTCTTCTAATCACACATTCAAACGCGGTGATAAATAGCAGACACGGAGGTCCATCGCCTTGCCGTAACCCCCTTCGAGATTCAAACGGACTCGAGAGTGTCCCCGATACTCGAACAAGCGATAGCGGTAGTGCGGGCACCTATGCAGGCTTGTAATTGCTCATTACAGCTAAACTGCTATTTTTCGTTATTATGAAACAGTGGGATACTATGATGATAATTTTTATTTGTAAGATGCAAGAAGAGGTGGTAAAGATTGTATATAAGATATAAAATTTGTCAATTTTGCTTTCAGAAGGTCACAACTAACGATTTTATGATCGCTGATTGCTCGCTCATCGTGTTGCTCATCGTTACAGCTAATCGCTAGTTGTGACATTCTGAAGGCAAAATTGACAAATTTTATTTGTCATATACAATCTTTATCACCTCTTCTTGCATCTTACAAATAAAAATTATCATTATAGTGTCCCATTGTTTCATGATAACGGAAAATAGCATTTTAGCTGTAATGAGCAATTGCAAGCCTGCACCTATGAATCCCGCCTGGTATTGCCCCACGAACTCTCTTGAACAAGGTGACAGGCGGTGGCATAAAATTTGGAGTACCTTGTAGGTGGTGCTCAACAGTGTGATCGCGTGGTAGTTGCAGCAATCGAACTTGTCGCCCTTTTTATAGATTGGGCATACGACACCTTCCATCCACTCCTCCGGTAATATCTGCTCCTCCTCAATCTTGGCAATTACCCAGTGCAGCACTCTAGCCAGTACTTCACCACCGTATATTAATAGCTAACTTGGTAGTTGATCTACACCAGTTACTTTGTTGTTCTTCAGTCGACCGATCTCCTCCTCGACTTCTTGAAGACCTGTCATTTGCGCGGTGCAGATTTTCCATCGCCCCACGATCTCGGTCTTTCTGCTGACGCTTCTCCTTTGAAAAACCAAGTTTTGTCTGTTCCGCGCTTGTCTGTATCGATCCACATTCAATGCGGTGTTGTAGTATTCTCCACTACTAACAGTTTGCATTCACCGTCAAACCAGTAATTTCTTCGGTCCGGCATCGCAATACCTAGTGCCGGTGCAGCAGTACTACCTATGGTGGAACGGATGTCATCCTTTTATGGGTAGTACAGCTTCCAGCAGCTGCGCGTAATCCTCGGCAACTCCAGCGTCCCGTAATTGCTCAATGCTGGATCGCGGCGTTCGACTTTGACGGGTGTTATGCACCGTCAAGAGTTTTGAGCGCATGCATACTGCAACTAAGTAGTGATCCGAATTTATGTTCGCACTGCGGTACGTGCGGACGTTGATAGTGTCGAAGAAGAATTTCCCGTAGATTAGAACGTGATCGATTTGGTTTTCTGTGTGTTGGTCAGGTGATCTTCAGGTGGCTTTGTGGATATCCTTGCGGGGGAAAAAGGTACCTCGGACTACCATACCACGGGAGTCTGCAAAGTTCACGCATCATTTGCCGTTGTCGTTCGATACGGCATGCGGGCTGTTTGGCCCGATTGCCGGTCTGTACATTGCCTTCCGTCCTACCTGAGCGTTCATGTCGCCGATGACGATTTAGACGTCCCGTTGCGAACAGCCGTCGTACACCTGCTCTAATCACGAGTTGGCGCATCTTACCCAGCACTACAAGGCCGGTTCCCAGATCTTTGGTAGTGCCACAGCTCTTGTAGAAAGAATCCGCTCGATGCCCGCTTTTCCATACCTTTTGTCTCGTTCAGCAAAGTTCCTGCAGTGCTACGACTTCGAAGTTGCGTGGTTGAAGTTCGTCATAGATTAACCAATCGCAGCCCGGGAAGCCGAGAGATTTGTCAATTGTTCCATACCTTTCGAATCTGAATCAAGCTGAATCATAACGATTGATCATCGCATTGTTGATAACCCGCCATGACAACTATGAATCGACACGCATGTTGCAGCCTTGGTATTTTGAGGAACTTTTGATGGCTTTGGTTTCGTTCAGCTAATCAAGTTTTTCGATTGCAGGATTCCGTTGATTGTGTCGTTGCTAAGTCGATTTCGAAGTTTTGTTTTATTGTTGTTATATTGGGGAAAACCACTTTACGGTTGCTGGGGAGCGAGGCATTATAAGAATATTATACACAAGACGCCCAAGCGCTGGAAATGCATAAGAACCGTAAATTCTTTTCAAACATGTGATTTTTGTCGATCAATCCTGCACATGTGTGTTTTCTACAACTGTGATTTCTTTACGGAGCAATTTCACTTTTAACGCATGGTTTTCGTTTTCCAACTCTTGTTAATCTCCATTGTAGAAACTTGGAAACGCGCCCAGTACCAAATTGGAAAAGTTTCTGGGATTCAACATTGCAGCGAGATTCAGTTTTACAGTTTCAGACCTCGAAAAACTCTGTGCCAATCTGTATTTTGTGACTAAAATCTGTAATCTGTATCGTACAGAATCTGTATAAAAAATAGAAACATCTGTACTTCCCAGATAAATCTGTACATGTGGCAACACTGCTACCAATCCTTTTCCTCCCCTATGACAGAAAGGACGTGGCCGGTGCCGTTATTGACCTTGAAAAGTATTGATTCACCGGATTGCTAATCCCAAGCCAACCGCAAATTTCGCTGGATTTGGTCAGTCACTGAGTTTGACTGACGTTTGCCAGCTAACAAGCTGATCCTATCTTGATATCGATCCAGGTGTTGGAACTGAATCAAAAACAAACTCCATTCCGCATTTTTTACAGTGATATGAGCTTAGCAAGGCATCAAGCAACTGTAATTCCAGACTTACCTTTTCTTAAGGGGCCAAATTGCACATTATCGCCGAAGAGGTTTCCGCCTCTAACAGTTCTTTTGTACGTTCTTGATTCTATCATTGTTCAGTCGCCAAGCATCCTGTAAAAGAAACAGACATAAGGGAGCGTTCTTTCACATTGAATTTTTAACCGTGAGTTACGTTAGATTTGCTTTTATACTATTGAAGTAAATACTCTTTGAGAATTTGTGTATAAGTTAAAATGTTAGCGAAACAAACAATCAATCGCTATTAATAAAATAAGTAAATAATTCTCTTGTTTGATGACTACCTAGTATACCTACGACGAAAATTAGTTCCGAAAACAGACCAAGGAAGTCGAAAGAGGAAGGGAGATAGTACGCTACTAAACATCTACTACACATATAAATGACATCATTCGATTTAGATTGTTACTTTAGCGGTATTGATTAGAGGATGACACTTTAAAACGCGTTATCAACAACATAAGTTTCGTTTTCGATTGTAAGGACATGTGCGTATTGTTTCTTCGCTAGTAAAATACTATTAAAATTACCATTCAATCCATGCTTTTAAGGCACTTAACCGTTTCCAATGAACACCTGCCAGTGATTCAGGAAATGTTGCGATATTTCGTAAATAGTGTGTACAGGACACGAAGTGTCGATTTCAAATCCATATTCACGATGTCTGCAAAGAGTCGAAATTAGAAGCTACAGCAACGAACCACTAAACCAGATCAACATTACCTTCCGGTCGCGCCTTCGGCTTCAATCCCTGGTCCATCATGAGCTCGAACGCAAAGGCCACATTGTGCACCATGTGATCCGGATCCTTTGGCGTCAGGTGAAACTCGTGCAGCGGGACGAAGAAGCCTCCCAGCAGTCCCATCAGCAAGCACAGGTACACCCCGTCCTTGAAGTCGCAGCTCAGATCGGCCGCCTCGAAGTTCAACTTGTTCAGGTGCTTGTTGACGAATGTGATGAGCGATTTTTTCACCACCGCGAGCTTCTCCGGAGCGTGATCGAACAGCGTATCGAAGGCATCACGCTCGCAGCGCATTCCTACGTCGTCGTACTGCTGGGTGATTTTCTCCTGGAATTGTCTGGGTGGGTTTTGGGGAATGATTAGTTTGGATTGATCGCAAAGCCAAGTCAAGTCAACCTTACTTGCTCGTCAGCTTCCCGTTAACTTTCTGGGCCATTACGACCGTGACGTGGACATTCTCCGGAAGACGAATCGGTGCCCGAAAGTGACGAACCAGCGCAACCAGCAGATGCAGAATCGAGACGATGTTCTTCGTATGAATGCTTTCCACCGACCATTTCGGAACGTTGTGATGGAAGCCCAGTGTCTGAAATACAGAACATTCTTCATTATCCTAAAACTCAATCAAATAGCCCAGTTTCAACCTACGTGATTAACGGCGTTCAGTACGACGGCCAACTTCTGGCGTTGTCCCTCCGCGGACTGAGTAACTTCCGGTACGTTCAGCTTGTGACCGGTCAGTTTTTCGAACAACTTCTGCAGAACCTGCCCGTCGTACAGGTCCTCCTCGATGTCGGTAACGATGATCCGATCCTCGACCAGTTCGTCGTTGATCCACTCGATCAAGACTTGCAGCAGCTCCCGGACGTGCGGATGCTGCAGCGATGCAGGCTGAATGATCGAGCGCGACTCATTATCCTCAAGGTTGTAGTCTTCCGGGGGGATCTCCGGGGCGTTCGGATTTCCCGGTGAATCGATGGCAATTTTGCCTTCCTCTTGAACTTCTTGCACTGAAAGTAAAGAAGCATAGCATGAGATGTGCCAGCAAACAATCAATTTGTTTATATTTACATTCAGCAACAGCTGAATGACGTCACGCTTCACTTGCCCCCACACGAAACGAAACGGAGCCAAAGTGATTCACCCACACGCCTAAGAAGACTTAATTCTCAAGGCGATTCTAGATTCTGGATTATCGGCGCCAGCTGTTCATAATTTTCTACATTCCGACCATCTTCTTACACCTCACCGCTCTAAACGCCACCACCAAGCGATCCGAATCGCGAGCGAATTCGGTTCCCCTTTCAAATGCCCATAAATGGCAGAAATTCCACCGAGTCCGCCCTGCGGAGAAATTTCGCCCCCTCGACACAAAACTACCTCAACCTACCTTCCTTGATGCGCTTCTTCCGACCGAGGGTGCCGATTTTGTCCCAGAAGCTTTCCTCCTTGTCGAAATTTTTGCCAGAAACTGGCGTCCGCGGAGACTTTGGCCGACTCAGGGTGCTCATTTTTGTGCGATTCTGAACTGAACTGAATGATGGTGACTTTGTTCGTGTGTTGCTGATGTTGTGACGTCTTGTTTTGTTTGAAATCCGCCCGCAGTTGTCCCGCATCTCGTCACACGCCACGCTCTCCCCTACAAAAGAATATGCCAAAATAGCGGAGGCACACACCGACGCACGGAAAACGAAAACCAATCATTAATCATTTATATTTAATCATTTTCAGAAAAATGTCGGTTATACTTGTACCACAGACAAACAGACATAACACTCGCAACTTGTTCATGGAACAAGTATTTAACGGTAAATTTAAAAGTATCGTACTTGGTAGTACCGCCACCTGTGGCGCGCATAGTCAATTCCCTTACGTTTGACGTTTACACACTACCGCCATCTGTTCTGAGTACTACCCACCATAGTGTACTCAACAGATGGCAGTAATGTTTTAGCGACGATGTTTTACAGTGAGAAGTATTCAATGTGTTATGTCTGTTTGTCTGTGCTTGTACCACTTGTACCTACAATCAATACGAAACTAACGATTTTAAATTGGCTCACTACTTGACCAGTCTATTGGTCCCAAGCAAACGATTAATGTAATGTAATGTAAAGTTGAGCACGTTATTTCGGGACCTTCTGGTCTTAGAGTTACCTCTATGCTTGTACGTCGTATAAATTATAATAATTTTTGTATTGTGGTTTCTATGAATATTTAGACTTTCTTGACGAAATGTGGAAGCTGCCATAATCTTCTATGGCTTTTGAAACTCTTAAGGCCGGCGCACAATGGATACGTTTTCAAGTTTTTTTTTAAAGTTAGCCAATGCATTATCTGTTAAAAAACCCGAAAACGTATGCATTGTGCGCCAGCCTATACCATTTCAGCGTTTCCTTGTCGTTTTCACGCGCAAACAGGTTCACCAGCTGGATTAGTTATGAAAACATGACCTGCTGTAAGTTCGAGAACAAAGGAGTCAAAAGAGGTCAAAAGTAAACATATGGAAGAGGATTAACCAGCTGGTTTGGGACAAAGGAGTCAAAAGTAAACATCAGAAGAAATGTCATGGAAACCAAGCATTATACATGATCCAAGGTGGGATTGGTGACGCCGACGCCTGTGGTGTAGTGGTAAGCGTGACTGCTTTCTCACCCCAATGGGTCTGGGTGCAAACCAAGCCGAGGTCGGTGGGATTTTTCTGAGGCATAAAAATCTCTGGTAACGAATGAGTAAAAGTGTCTCACTATTTGAGGAAGCTTCGTTTGCATGTTGAGTGATCTCATTGGCCGTGTGTTCGTTTCATCATGGTTCCAATCCTGGGAGCTTTTGCTACTCGACGTCAACACTGCCGAAAGAGCGCCACTTTTGTTTTTATTTTTCATTCCGTTTTTTGATTCGCGCTTTCTGCGGGACGTAAACAAAAACTGCGCAGATGTTTCGCTCGTTTCGTTGGGACGAAATTTCGTCGTTCTCCATCTGTTTCCTTCCAGTGTAATTATTGCAATTGAATATTGTTCAGAATGAAACCAATGAAACAATTGTTCCTAAAGTTTGGCTTGTTATGTTTGTTGCTTCACGAAAATGCCGAAGGAGTTCAAAGATTCGATGACGAGATTTCCATTGCCATTGGGGAAAAGGGCAAAAAACAGCTGAGGGTAAGTAGCTAGGGATAATCTTCCAAACCATAGACCACGATGCCCAACGTCACTTTTACTCGCAGGAACTGGAGGAGAAGAGCCACCTACCACGGTACGGCGAATGTTGGCTTCATGCTTTGGAACACCTCCGGGATGGGTGCCGAATGTTGACCGATACAATACAGGTAGATTTGGCGTTACACTTCACCAACTGCTTCATGGAGATGTCCGGTCAGGAGCGGCTGGATTGCGTGTCAGAGCGAACCGAGGCACTGAAACGGCTCTGCATGAGCGAGATGAGTGACCGGGCCTTCGCGGTGTACACGGAATTTTTCACGCAAACGCAAAATATGTGCTTCTTCCTGCAGAACCAACGGTGGCAAGTGCTAGCGGATCAGACCATCGATAGGTTAAGCGTACGGTCCAGGGATGTTAGCGAGCAGTTGGAGGTAGCCAGTAAGGTCCAGAGAACAGTCTTGGAGCAACAGAAGGAGGGAATGAAGATGCAGGGGGAGATGCTGCAGTTGGGAGGGCATTTGGCGAAGACACTGAATGGGTCCCAGGAAGTGCTAGATAGATTGACGATGGATTTGAGGAATTCTACCACCGAGCATCGGGCTGTTTTGAAGGAACTGTTTCACGAGTTTTATCTGCTCCATAGTTGGATCGTTGGGAGGTATGCTTTCGTAGATAGGATCGTCTTCTATTTCAGCTTTCTGGCGGCGGTGATGGTGGCTTCTTCACCAAAGAGGACGAGTAAAGCTCGATCTTATTTGATTTTGAACGTGATGGGGAGTGCAGTGCTGGAAGTAACTTTGCCGCTGTTGTTCCCGTCTTTAGATGACATCCAGAAAGATCGTATCCATTGGACGATTCGAAAGCTGTTTGCCCTAACTGGGGCTGTTATATTCGGATTCTACTGTTATCGCTACCAGGATGAAAATGCCAAACTGTTGAACGAGATCAAAGAACAAAACCGCCAAATCATGGAAAGCATTCTTCGAATGAAGCTGGAACCTCCGGTTGCATTGAGGACTTCCCCGAAGCAAGCAGACCAAGACCAGCAGCAGTCTGCGTTCAGTAGTCACGTTTCACATTCCCACGAGAGCTATCGGACGGTGGCTCGAAGTTTACTCTCGCCTTCCACCGTGGCAGAACCGGATACGACCGATAACGAAAAAGAAAACAGTTCAAACGAACGCCGTTCGGTGAGCAGGTCCCTACGGTTGACACCGGAACGGAAAGAGCGGGCGGCGATAATGAGGGAACCGTCCCGTACATCGGAATCGAGTGTGTCGCACGCTTCGCGGTATAATTTGAGAAGGAAGACTTAAATTTTTTTTTAGGTAAGCTATAGCTATAGCATTCATGGTAGTCTGGGTTATAATGTAACATACCGATATCCCGACCGGGGTTTCGATAACTGTACTGTCGACATTTTAAGTGATTGATTTAATTTATAACTTATATGATTAAGCCACCATTGTTACATTTGAAATAACATCACGTTTTACAAGTTAACATTCCAAAGCTATCGGTTGATTCCAAACCAAATAACCTAGTTTTAAGTCGTTTAATCATTTCTTATCTTATGTTTTATTTATTTATTTATAAATATTCGTTAGTAAAAACAATTTCAAAGGAAAATATTGAAATAAATTACATTTATTGATGATAAACTTCCAAGGGGTAAGTCACTCTGTCACACCCACAAAAAAAAACACTTTCCGCTATAGTCGCTATATTTATAGTTTGGCGGATAGAATTTCGATCTATCAAAAAGCGGAACGATGAAAGTGATGCTACTTATTTTACCTTTTATGTGATACTTATCATCACAGAATCCAACTTTGAATCGTAGACCAGGTAAATTAATAATACACTCGTTCCGAGAAGGGGCTCTGGTACCACTCATCCTGTATAGTCATCTTCTTCTTCAGGTTCAGCTTGACAACGACTCCATTTCGCTCACTGCCTTGAAGCCGATTTGCAATTAATTAACCACTTCATTCGAGCAGTTAAAATGACGTTTTCTACCACTCGAACTTTGAAATAAAACATTATTTTGAGATTTTTTCTTCTAGAACCACGAAAAGAGTAGCCAACGTTTGCGCGTTTCATAAAAAAATAGAAATTAGTTTGTCCAGTTTTGTGAAATCGCTGGTAGAAAGTCACGCCAAAACTGCTTGGCAAAGTGATCAATTATTTTATTCATATGTTTCACTTACACATTTTTGCCAAAACATCACCCTTATACATTCCATAAGACAATCCACATAGGTCCTATAAGAATACATAAAAGGTATATGTGTGACCGCTTATACATTTCATTTGACACATGAACTTTATTAACTTTATGCAAGGCGTCTGCTTATTAGTTGACTTATACATTTTATGAACAATCAGCAATAGAAAATTGCCAAAAGGTATAAGGAGATTTCTATCCGTGTAACATGTTATAACGCTGTCCAGACTGGAGAGTTATAACATGTTATAACGGTTGTCAAATAATTGCAACACAGAAACCACCATCAAGATAGCGCTATAACATGTTATAACTCTGTAGTCTGAACGTACTATTATAGTTGTAAAAATAGTGACTAATACTACGTTCAGACTACAGAGTTATAACATGTTATAGCGCTATCTTGATGGTGGTTTCTGTGTTGGAATTAGTTGACAACCGTTATAACATGTTATAACTCTCCAGTCTGGACAGTGTTTAATAGTACGTTCAGACTACAGAGTTATAACATGTTATAGCGCTATCTTGATGGTGGTCTCTGTGTTACAATTATTTGACAATCGTTATAACATGTTATAACTCTCCAGTCTGTACAGCGTTTAAAAAGTGACCTAATAGTACGTTCAGACTACAGAGTTATAACATGTTATAGCGCTATCTTGATGGTGGTTTCTGTGTTGCAATTAGTTGACAACCGTTATAACATGTTATAACTCTCCAGTCTGGACAGCGTTTAATGCCTTGTTCAGACTGGAGAGTTATAACATGTTATAGCGGTTGTCAAATAATTGCAACACAGAAACCACCATCAAGATAGCGCTATAACATGTTATAACTCTGTAGTCTGAACGTACTATAAGAGAAAATAAATGTTTGATGTTTCAGACTTATTCAATAAGTATCTCATAAATGTAGTATCTACCCTGTTCAGAGTAATTAATGATTTAGAGTGTAATCAATCAAGATACAAAAAGAGACTCGAGATGAGAGTCCAGAATAAAGAGCTAGGCGAGTCTAGCATGAGCCGTTGAAAGAGACGGAGTTGAATCCAATCTGCATCGTTGAGCTTTTATTTAAGTTAAGAAGAAAGATTGATTAACACTAGTTAATCCTTAATAATTAATCAAATCACATAGTAGTGATCAGTTACCGTACATAACAGTGGCGACGACGGAAAATTGGTAAAAAGTTATAGTGAAAAGTACAGGTAGCTCAAACGGAAGGTACTTCCAGTGTGAGTCAGCGTAAGTACTTGTAGAGTTTCCTTGAGCCTAGCAATTCAAGCGACTTGTAAATCGGCAGACGGGTTTTACTTGATAATTGTTTTGATAAAAGAAGCAATTAGAAAGCCTGTTGAGTCATTTAAAAGGCGAAATTCGCTACGAATATATATATATTAACATTGAGAAATAGTTGGATTTATCAGATAATCATAGCGTGGTTGTAACACCATTTTGTTTTTCATTTCTTTTATTTCACAGATTGTAGTCAGAACAACGCGCTTTGTTCTCACGATCTTCGCTGCATTGCGCTCGGTGTACCAAGTCAAAAAAAATACTTATACAAAATATCAAGAAGAACGTGAAGCGAACCCCACACGGTTAGAAATATTGTCAATACTTACAAGTATTGACAATAATATTGATGATGTGAATACAGAAATATTGTCAATACCGATGTATTGACGTCAATATAGAATGTATTGACAATACGATTATTGTCAATACAAACAGTCGTGTAGGGTCCACTTGAGAGTTGCTGTTGCTGCTGCTGCTGTTGTTGTTTTGTGTGTTGCTAGTGCTTTGGTGAGTTTGCTGCTATTTTGCTACCATCCGAGAGAAAGTGAGTGAAGCAGGCATAGGTGAGAGAAACTGGTGCGGTCTTACGAAGTGAGAACTTTTGAAGTGAAAATCTTACTCACTACTCACATTTCAACCTGCCAGTTGTGAGAAGCACATCGCAGCAACCGGTGATTGACTACAGCACTAACAGCAGTGATTCTAATTAGAAATTGAACAGGGCATTTGGATTGTCGTGAGCCTGGAGTTGGAGCGTTGATTTAATTTTAACAGAAGTAGACGACCGTCGTCGTTGTAGCTTCAGTTGCACGTTTGAGGAAAGAGGTACATGCTGGAAGCGTCAATCGTTTTGGAGACGAATAAAATATCGAGACTTCGTGGCTAAGTACTCGGTGAGACCAATCTGCAGCAACCGTGAGTAGAGTTTTGATTTGTTTTCTTTTATTCTGCTAGCTACAGTAGAGGCATCGAAATGAGTACGCCTGGTATGATTGGGTCGATTGACCAGTACCAACGGCATAAATCTTTTACAAATTATGTGGAGCGATTTGAAATTTTGTGTAAGCTGAATAAAGTGTCGGACGAAACTAAACAGTCCTGGTTTATTTCTGTGAGTGAAGATGAAGTTTTCGAAGAGGTTAAGTTAATTTTTCCAAAAAAAGAAGTAAGCACAATACCGTATGATGAGATGATAAAAAAATTAAAAGCACGTTTAGATAAAGTGGAGCCGGCTTTAATGAATCGCTACGAATTTTACAATCGTTTACAAAAACCTAATGAGTCAGCTGAGAATTTTGTGCTCGCGGTTAAACTTCTTGCAGAAAATTGTAACTTTCGGGAATTTAAGGACGAAGCTATTCGTGATCGTTTAATTATTGGCCTGCGTGATAAAGAATTGAGGAAAAAATTACTTATGGATGATGATGTAAAATTAGAGACGGTGGAGAAAACAATCATCAGCAGTGAAAAGGCAGAAAATAGGGCTGAACACATGGATGATTTTGGTGAGTCGAGCAAGGTTCTATCGGTTAGGCAGCGATTAGGCAGAAGACCCAACGATTATGATCGTAGGAGAGATAGTGACAGACCTCGCAATCGCAGCTGGAGTCGTGATCGCAGTAGGAGCAACAATCAATACGAAACTAACGATTTTAAATTGGCTCACCACTTTAGTAGCCTATTGGTCCCAAGCAAACGATTAACGTACCCTATTCTAGTTGAAATTCTATTACTACACTATGTTTGTTTTGATTCGCTATGAAAGTTTGACAGATAACATCAGGGGTGTGTGGATTCATGCAGAACATGCAGGGGTGAGTGAAATAGCTTGGGACTGCTTGGGACCGTTGTTCTGGTACTGAGTGAGCCAAAAATAATAATGATCTTCTTCGGGACCCAGTGGTCTTAGAGTTACCTCTATGGTAGGAGCAATGAACGTAGTAGGAGTTACGATCGTAATAGAAATCGTGATCGTGAGTGGGCTAGGGATTACCGCCAAGATTATCATGAGAATCGAGTCAAGAACATTCATACTAGTGCAGTGTGTAATTACTGTAAGCGTAAGGGACATATCCGCAAAAATTGCTACTTTCTGCAGAACAACAACCGGGGAAAATCCGTTAATTTCGTAGAGAAAGAGGAGATAGTAGAAACTTCAGTTACTGATAAATTTAACAGAATTCGTGTTAACGAATCCAGTGAAGAAGATTCTGAAATCAGTTGCATGATGATTGGTCACATTAACAGAGTATCAGAAGCATGTTTAGTCGATGTTGTGGTTCAGGGCATTAAACTATCTATGGAAGTAGACACTGGTTCAGCAGTAGCGGTTATCAGCGAAATCCAGTACCAGCAAGCTTTTTCTGCGATTCCGGTGTCTAAATGTGACAAAACGCTCGTGGTAGTTAATGGTTCAAAAATCGCTGTAGTTGGAGAAATTTTAGTTGAAGTCGTTTTGAATGGACTTAGCACTGAAAGGAAACTGATTGTTCTAAAAACATCTAGGGATTTTACACCGCTTTTGGGTAGAGATTGGATGAAGGTGTTCTACCCTAACTGGAAGGACCAATTCATGCAAACTTCAGTAAACAGTTTGGATATCGCTGGAAATTCGGAACAGGTTTTAAGTACGATAAAGCAAAAATATTATAAGGTGTTCAATAAAGACTTTACAGAGCCAATTATAGGTTTTGAAGCGGAGCTAACTTTGAAATCAGACCAACCGATTTTCAGAAAAGCGTATCAAGTGCCATTCAAAATTAAGGATAAGTTTATGGAACATTTGAACATGCTGGAGAATCAGGGGGTGATCACTCCCATTCAGGCTAGTGAATGGGCTTCTCCGGTCATAGCTGTAATGAAAAAGGATGGAGAAGTTAGAATGGTAATTGACTGCAAAGTATCGTTAAACAAAATATTGATCCCAAATACTTATCCTCTTCCTCTAGCAGAGGATATTTTT